CACTTTTTTTAAACGTGTGGATTACTCATTAATTGTTTTGCAAGAAGAAATAAATTTATATTAATATATGAAAAATACTATAGATAATCTTTTTTATAGATATTATCTCGATAAACGGATTATCTGAAAATATAAAACAAATCTTTTTACAATTCTTACAATTGTGCTAAAGTGTGTGAATTCTAATATCCGTCGTTCTATAATCTAAAATAATGCCAAGTGACAAACTATGCTACTTACACTTGGCTTTCATATAAAGCAAATTACCTTACTTTTATATATTATATAGATAGATTCTAGTAGGATCTAATAATGCCTAAAGTGACAAACTATTTTGCTACTTACACTTGGCTTTCAAATAAGTAAAGTGCAAATTAAACCTTACTTTTATATATTATATAGATACGATATAGATTTTTTCAAAATAGTGATAATAAATTCTAAGAAATTTTAACCTAATTATATTGAAATAAGAAAATTAAGGTATTTTTTTATTTTTATGTTTTATGTATTTAATTTAAATGATTGTTTTATTTTATCATATTTCGTAACTGTTTTGCTGGTATCTCGTGTCCTATGTCTAATATTGCAAATCTAACGTTATGGTATTAAAAATTACCAGCCATAGTACGTCAAAGTAATGCATTAAAACAATAAGAAATTAAAACAATTTTTTTATTTTTAATTTTGGTACGTTTGGATTATATGTATTTTAATAATTTAATTAAATTTAAACTAATTATATTAAAATAAAAGTATTATAGTATTTTTTTTTTTACTTTTTGTAATTTATTATACAAAAAAGAAATGATTGGTTTATTTATTTCATATATACTACTGTACCGTCCATAATCTTCGTGTTCGCGTGTCCACTCGAGCAACTCTTAGGGCTCCTTTTTGGTATGTTTGAGTACGCCTATTATTCACCCAACGGTAATCAATTAAAAATAAAAAAATTAAGTATGTTCTTATTTTATGACTTGGTTTTAATTTGGCAATTTTAAATTTAAAAATTTTATAATTTAAATTTTAAATTACAGTTAATTTGATGAGATTATACATTAATAGATTATGATTAATAGATATTATCGTGATAAGATATTAAATCTAAAAAATATAAAATAAACTTATCTTCTTACAAATTGTCGTCTGTTATCCTTAAAATTTTCTTAAGGTAACCGGTATTTAAAATAATTGTTGTCCTCGCTCATTCTTGGATAATTTTCATAGGCTCATGTCACACTTTAGACTTCTATATAATCGCAAATGTGTTTCCTGCATTATATAATATAGTTAAAAGAATTGATTTAAAAAATATTAGGAAATTTTGATATTTTAGGGCGTACTCAAAATTGTTAAGAAATAGATGAGAAAATCATCTCTCCGTATTCGACGTCGTATACTATGATTTCAGTATGGGTAAAAAAAAAAATTATATGGGAAAAAATGCCAATAAAAAAAAAATTAATAGGATTTAGATATAGTTGTCCAGTGAAAAAAAAATTGTTGTGGTCCAAAGTTGGTTGCTGTTTAACTGACAGTAAATTGATAAATATAACCGTTATAATATTATCTGTGATCATGGATTATAATAAAATTGAAATTGTATAAAATTATATAATAAATTTTATGAATTTACAAGATTTGAAGTCATTTTTTTTGCTGGATTTAATTTTTATTTTTCAAAATAGGACATGTTTTTGTGTTTCATGTGATTTTCTAAAACATGCCCAACCATCATGAAAAATGCCCTAAATCTAAAAAATATTTTGCAGACAAAAATTTATTTTATCAGAAATACAATAAATCATAAAATAACTAAAAAATTAATTTTTATAATAAGCTTTATGGTTTTGGTATGGAATTATTATAAATGATTGTTTATTTATTATCATATTTCGTACGTTTCTGTATCTCGTGTCCTATGTCTATGCAATCTAACTTCTGGTATGTAAAATTACCCCATACGTCAAAGTAATCATTAAAATAAGAAATTAAACATTTTTTTTATTTTGTAGTTTGGATTATATGTATTTTAATTTAATTTTAATTTAAACTAATTATATTAAAATAAAATATTAAGTATTTTTTTATTTTTTATTTATTATAAAATGATTGTTTATTTATTATCATATATACTGTACGTCCATATCTCGTGTTCCGTGTCCACGCAACCTAGCTCCTGGTATGTATGAGTACCCTATAAACCAAGGTAATCATTAAAATAAAAAATTAAGTATTTCTTATTTTATGACTTGGTTTATTTGCATTTTAATTAAATTTTAATTTAATTTAATACATTATCTTGATGAGATATAATTAATAGATATAATTAATAGATATTATCGTGATAAAGATATTATCTAAAAATATAAAATAACTTATCTTCTTACAATTGTCGTCTTTATCCTTATTTTCTTAGAACCGTATTAAATAATTGTTGTCCTCCTCATTCTTGATAATTTCATAGGCTCACACTTAGACTTCTATATAATGCAAATTGTTCTGCTTATATATATATATTAAAGATTGATTAAAAAATATTAGAATTTTTATATTTTAGGGCTACTAAAAATATTTAAAATGATGGAAACTCTATATTTAAAAAAAATTATATGGGAAAAAATGCATAAAAAAATTATAGATTTTGATATAGTTGTCAGTGAAAAATTGTTGTGGTCCAATGGTTGCTGTTAACTGACAGTAATTGATAACCGTATAATAATTATCTGTGATCAATGGATTAATAAATGAATTGTATAAAATTATAATAAATTTATCAATTAAAGATTTGAAGTCATTTTTCCTGGATTTAATTTTATTTTTCAATAGGACATGTTTTGTGTTCATTGATTTTCTAAACATCCCAACATCTGAAAATCTAAAAAATATTTTCAGACAAATTATTTATCAGAAATAAATAAAATATAAATAACTAAAATTATAACTTTATTGGTTTGGTATGGAAATAAATTCTTTCAAAAAATAAAATAAAATTCTTTCTAGAACACATAATTGTAAAATGTTTGGATATTGGGTCACTCTAGGAATTGTTGAAGTAATGTGATTCAAATTTCTATATCTCATTCTTTTTTCTTAATTAGCACCATACACATTTTTTCTTTTTTACCTCAATTATTAGTCCACTAATATTTCCTCCATTCATATTCTTTTCCACCTTATTGTTTTGGTTTGATTAGATGAGAATAATTACTATTTTAGCATAAAAATATGTATATATAATAAAATAAAAAGAGTGGGCAATCCAAATAAAATATTAAAAAAAAATCTCAACCTTTTAGCAATATTAACAAGTGGGATTATGGGAGTGCTCGAGTAATCCTATGTTTAAGGTCAAATGATGCCATTAATCTCACATCCTAAAGATTCACAATATCCAAATCAGAATATTTTGATGATAGCATTTCATCCATAGCCTCAATCTTGCTAATTAGATTTAGAGCATTAAACCAAAGTCATAATTTTACGTTTCACTTTTATTAACATCCAACGGCTGTGGTTACATCAAATGGACAGCCCGAAAGGAATCTTCCCCATACGCGAAAAATCAAGAGAAGATCAGACGGTGGGGCCCAAGAGACCAAGTTGCAACCTTTTTTTCTACTTTTTTTGTTGTTTGTTTTAACAAAATTTGTGTGTCCACTCCAGCTATCTGGGTTTGTGCCACGTGTGCAACAAGTTGTTTGAAAGAGAGGCGCACGTGGCGCATATTTAGTCGTAGAAGACAGCTAAGCAAGCAAAAAGAAAAGACCATGCAACTTGCCGATGTGACGTGTCCCGTATTTTGTGGGAAATTTAATGATGTCATAGTATGTCATACGCACGCCTCGTGTCAGAAAATGTTTCCTCTGCATCATTACTTCTTACTTAATTTGGAGTATTATTCAATAATGATATTTTTATTTTTGATAATTTAAAATTACTATTTAACCAATGAAATTGATCTAATTAGTAACAATGAGATGTTTCTGATAATAATAATAATAATAATAATAATAATAATATTTTTCTTTCACATAATACATGCAAGTCCGGTCTAAAATATTTTTTTTTCAAGAACTAAAAAAAATTCATCTCCTTTGCGATTAATCAGATAGTATCAGGAGATGGACGCTTGAAATCATTTAAAGAAAATATTTTAATATTAATTTATATAAATTAATCTAAAATATTAAATAAAAACATATTATTCCTTTCTTTCTTTTTTGAAAGATTTCTTAAAAAATAGTTTGGGTAATAAAAGAATGACATCATTTTCTCAAATTATTTTAAGTTGAAACATTTTTCTCCGTTTATTTTTTCCCTATTTCTAAATTAGCACATCAAATCCTTATAAGCTTTGAATTTCTAAGCAACTGCACTTCACTTGAGCATTAAATTATTAATTTAATAAACTATAATATCAACATTTTTTTTTTTTCTAAAAAAAGTAGAATTAAGGTCATTATCAAATGATGGGTGATCAGGATTGGAAGTTCAGAGAGGAGAGCAAGTAGATATCCGCAAAAGAAAAAACTTTACTATCATCACAATGAAATATCGGAAATGAGCTTCTCTTGTGAATAGATGTAAAATTGAATGACTAAGTTAAAAATTAATCATAAACAAGGATCATTGTTTTAAAGCTTCTGCCACAAAATTATTACAGAATCAATGGCAAAGGCCAGTTCATCCATTTGGCTTCAATGCCACTAGGTGTAAACAAGTTAAGTTTGAACTTTAACTCGGAAAAGTTTGAAAAAAATTCAGCTTGAATAGAGCTCGAACCTATTCATTTAGTAAATGAGCTGAACTTAAGCCTAATAATGTTTTAGCAAATAAATTTGAACTTAGCTCGGCTTATTAAGCCCCCTAAATGCCATAACATTGGTAGAATTGAGTGAGACATGTTTATTATGCACAACAAAAATTAATTCATTTCATAATTGAGTTCATATACAAAGTAAATTAAGTAATTCAATGTATCCATGCCAACAAGATGGAGGCGTGCACTCATTCCCGCAAATCGATCCATTGAAATATTGGGATTGTTACAGCTACCAATTACAACTATGCAATAAAATTAGAGTAACAACAGTTTCTAACTAACCTAGGGGATGAACTTAATCATCATCAGAAGTCTCTAGAAAATCAATCTATGGAAATTCTGGGCCTACTCCTAATTCTGTAAAAACAAAAAGGTTCCTAAAAGCCAAGGCAAATGCCTTTTCCTCTCAACATTACTCTGATTCTGAATCAACAGTTATTTCTCAATTGAATGCCTAAATAGAAAGCAAACTTTAATCCTTCCGAAACCTGCGCACTAACAATATCAAAATTACAGTGCCAAAAAGTCAAGGTGTTAGTTTTACGCGGAATTAGTGTTCTGCTTTGAGCCGCTTGAACGGCCACCTCTACCTCTCCCTTGCTGGTAGCCTTCACCTCTCCCAGCTGAACTCCTGCCATGACCAGAAAATTCACCCCGGTTTCCAAACTCATTCCTGCCAAAACCTCGGCCACCACCATAATTTCCACGCTCCCTGAAGCTGTCATTCCGACGTCCTACCCTTCCAGAAGGGAACCTACCTCTTCCACTAACGGCAACTGCAAAAGGAATCGATAGCTTTATTAGATAAAGTCGGACAACTAAGCAAGACAACCATTAATCAATAAATATAAAACAACCTTCTTTCCGATTGTTGTGTTAAAATTATACATGAAATACTCAACATTCTATTCAATAAAAATGAGCATCTAGTAATGAATAGAACTTCTGACATACCTCGAGTGGATGTTCTCTTCATCTCAATAACTGCTTGACGCCCTCCAATAGTCATGGGTGACGCCTGAAATAGGGAAAACCCACAATGCTTTACTTTCATTATTAAACAAAGAAAAAACCCATCAAGAAACAATTAGACAGAAATAAAATGTAGTAGAATACGAATATTTTCAATATTTTCTATTTGCAGAGTGAAGTCCACATCAATAAGCACACAAAATCTCATTGATTTGACAAACCTAATCAATCTAAATGATAAGAGTGAGATTGAATTATTAACATTAAGAAATAATGGCACTTTTGGAAGTGTGTGTATTAAGCATCTCCTATGCAGCATTTGGACCAATATGCATACTAGAACCTGCGTCTTCATCTGACTGTATGAAATATAAGACATCAAGTACCCAATAATGGTAATGTATCATATGATGGAATTTACATTGCTTTACAAAAGCATAACCAAAATGCCAGCTCCAATTAATCCTGATAATTGCCATTGTGACATTTTACAAAAAAATTTAGTTGAACCATGAGAAGAAGCAACTTCTTGAAGCGGTAAGTTGCCTTCGAATCAGACTCCCCTGCGGAGGATGCACATGAAAGTAACATCTAATGTGTTATGTAAGATGCAGTGGAAATAACTCCATATTTCATATGAACAGTCAAGAAAATTACAGAATCTTTTCAATCAAACAATCCAAACACAACCACTGGTTCATTAAAGAAGTTAAATTTATATTAACGGCACAATTTCTATAAACGTACCAAACTCAAGAAGGTCTGTTATTACTTGTATTATTCTGGGTTTATTTCAGCTCCTCCATCATTTGGAGAATGTAATTCTTTTTAGATTACTCACTAGTCATTCCATACAAATTGAGGACCTTTTTTACAAACAAATAAAACCAGACTTTAATTCTTCTTTCTATATCTCCTTGAATCTTAAGCACTTTACAGCCAATTAATCCTCGACCAGGCTCAGCTATTTCATTTCTGCCTTCGCTTTTCTACCTTGATAAACTGAACTTCTTCCCTCTAACCAATCAAACCCCAAACCTGAAACTTTATGTTAACTGAAAACACAATTCTAGCCAATTCCACAGTCAACCATAGAAAAAACCTTTTTCTTAAACTATCTTCTTTTGAAGTTGGAAAATTGCCTTACCTGACCAAAAGTGAAGAATAACTTACCTTGGACAAAGATTCCCCCCCATCTAACATGAATATGTCCATCACTAGATCACTTCAAGATTCAACCATCTGAAACCATGATCAATGCACACAAAAAAAAATATTTTTCCATATGAGTGCAGACCCCCAATATCTTAAATCTACCAGGTTTTAATTCAGCACATAATCCCAACAAGCAAATTTTTTAGATCTGCCCACATCAATAAATAATGACTACCCAGCCCTAGCAGGTGCTTGCATGGATTAAAGCTACCAGGCTTAACAGGTACAATTTTGCCCCTTTGGCCACTACTTTAAGCGCAGAACAGCAGGAGCAGGTTTCATGCTCAGCATGAATATTAGATTTATGACGATTCATGATAGACAAAAACAAATAAACAACACATTTACAAACCTTTAAGCTTTCTAGCTGTCCAGCACTGATGTATGAAGTTGCTGAATATGGACCGCAAATTGTCGAAGTCCATAAGTATTCTAATTAAATGTTGCTAGAGGGAATAAAAGAAACAAGCTCACGACCAAAATATTTTGTCTAGCAAACTTTCTTCTGGATAACTCAAAAGTTTGATTTTGTAACAATATCTCCATCATATTGCACTAGAATCAGATAGGACTTCAGTGCAATCAAAGAACACAGCAAACGGACATGTTAAGTCCAATTTCTAGTTCCAACACATACCACTGAAAAGTGATCTTCAAGGTTTTCAAACAAAGTCCACTTATGGACCAGTAAAGACCACTTGGAAGGTAATCACAAGCTTAAAGTTCAACCAAAGTCATAACCAAAGTTGAACTAAATAAATATTAAAAACTATATAAATTACTAGTAATTTTTTATTAGAAACTACATGTCAATAAAAAAATTAATTAATTAAAGAGATCTATTAAAATATATGAGTTTTGACTTAGTTAAATTTTAATATCTATAAACCTCAAAAAAGTTTCAATATAACGCATTTTCATTTTAATAAATTTGATTTACTATTACAATACAAGTTGTGAAAAATTTAATTAATATTGTAATCATTTAAATGTAATTGGAAAAAGAAGAGTTGCATTTGAATGGTTGTGCTCTTAAAGCTTACTCTAGTGGCCCAGTATCAAGCCCCATACTATTGACTTCATCATAGACCATCCTTTTCACTAATAACATTGTGGCAGCATCCCAAACTGCCACGTTGTCCTTCAAAAGCCTATATTAGCTGCTTTAACCTGATAAATTCAACTGGTTCACCAGCTGCGATATCAGTTAATATGGGTTACAAGAGGATTTATACAGAAAAGGGCTTCGCTCTAAACCAGAATGACCATGGATCTGGTTCTCAGGCAAGCCGGTCCGACCGGCCAGCAGCCAGAAAGGCCTAGGTTTGACAACATCAGTAATTTTAATGCAGAAGATCATAGAAGTTTCCACACTTCCATATTTTGCCTCAACAAGCAAACCATCAGGTGAGATTACTTAATGTCCTTCCATTTTATCTACCCAAATTATTTGTACAAAATCTTGATTTCACCCAAACACATGATATCATGTACTGCTAGCTACAACCTAGGCTACAGCCGTTTCTGGCTAGACCAACCTCAAATTACTTCTACATTTCTGTCTCTAATTATTAAACTCAACGAAGGAAGTAAGAAGCCAACTCTACAGAAAACCATGCAATGGCGGAATATAGGAAGAAGGCACTACTTTATGGATTTTTGCAGGGGATTGTCATTAGTGGTCGATCTAATATCCAGAACATGTTCTAGGGAAAAATTTGAGACCGCCAAGAGAGCAACATAACCACGGTTGAGATATTGCCATGCTTAAACTAAACCACCAAGACCAGTAAACAATAAGAATCCTCCATGTCCCACCTTTTTAGGCTGATCAATAGTAAAGCTAATTTACTTTACCGTGCAAATGGAAGTTCCTTGCCTTTAGAACTTGTTTGCAAATGAAAAAGATCAAACGGAAATAGACAGAAAATCAAAACTAAAGAATCAAATATTTGCCAAAAGATAAAATAAAGAAAAGTATGTAGCCTTAGCACAAGTTTGGAATATGCTCACTTGAGTTTGATGGCAGAAAGAATGTTAAAATTCGGAATCTGATCACCATGCAACAACTCAATAATACAAGTATTATATTGAAATACAAGAAAACTTTAATTTGAGCAGACCAACCTCAATAGCACTGTTCATGGAGCTTGCAGAATGAAATTCAACAAAACCAAAACAGTATCCCTGTTGCTGCACAGACAGAGAATATATTAAAAAAACAAATAAGGCACAAAATCCTTGCCAGGCAAAGTACAACTGAGTAGAAAGTATGCTATTCAATGCATTGGAGACCAACCCTGTTAAATCTGACTTGGACACCTCCTGGCTTGATTGGTCCAAATTTCTTGAACTCCCCCTCAAGCTGATCAGATGTCGTGCTATAGGGCAAATTACGGATATAAATGGAGTGGCCTTCTGTTAATGCAAAGTAGTCAGTAGAGGAACATATGAAATAAGACATTACCAATACTTGAAATAAGACTTTTTATGCTGCAGATCTCATTGAACATGAATTGAGACCTCATCCTTCCATTACAGTCCTTAATGGTATGATTTTTGAGTTAGCATGCATTTTGAAGCATGACATTGTACAGTTGAAGGCACTTACCATCCTCTTGAGCATTACTACTTTCAGGAGTTTCATTGCTGCTTGGCACTGATGCTTCAGGCCCTGTGGCTGGTGCCACTAACACAGAATTTGTCTCAAGTTTCTTAGGAGCCACTTTTACTGCATTAGTAGGTATATAAACTTTTGTTGGGCCCGTACTCCCTCTTGCCACTTTAACCTACAACATGAATTATTGAATGCTGAGATAGTACTCATTGCAAATCCTTGATTGAAAAAAAATTAACTTCAAACTCACAATCGATGCATAAGATTTCTTTGGAATGTCCTCTTGAGCAATGGAAGAAGCTGATTCAACAACGACAGAATCATTATTCCAATTGGAATCAGATTGAGTTTCCACAACCACCTCTTTTTCATAAACTCGCTCTATATCAGAGTCTACAGGATCATTAGCTTCCTCAACAGCTTGTTTATCATGTTCCACAACTAAAGCAGCTGGGTCTGGTGCAGAAGGATCAGGAACATGAGAAGGCTCTGGAAATGGTTACTAGATGATTTCAGATACTTGTGAAAGCAAAGGCAGGAGAGCCCAGAGAGGGAGAGAGAGACCAACAAAGCAAATGATAACCACCAGAAGTTGCTGTCATAAAAACTTACCTGAATCTGGGTTTGAGGGGACTGTTGGGGCGCTGTCAATATTGTTAACTGGATTGTTCTCCAATGGTTCATCATCCTTCACAAATGTGAAAACATCATTCAGAACAAAATATCCATTGTCCTGTGGTGCAAGAAAAAATGACTGGGCAAATTTCCTTTTCAAGTTGTCCTTGCCCATTAAGCATCCAGTTACTAACACAGTAACCCCTTCTTTATAAGATTTTTGAGCATCTGCCGTTTTTATTTCTGCCTTATAATCCTTGAAGTTCAATGAAAGTATCTTCTCATTGATACCCTGTCCCATGAAGAAAAACCTATGTTATTGTTATTGTTATTGTTATTGTTATTATTATTATTATTATTTTGATAACAAATATTCACGAAGAAAACAATACATTACCTTCAAATTGCTGTTGCAAGAGGAAGGGTTTCACAAGAAGGTTAAACAATTAACTAATTACACAGGGATAACTGTGAGACAAAATGTCCTCATTATTTCTTTTTTCATTGTTCGATGGGCATTTGAAGAACAAAACTGATATTTTTTTTTTTTTAATGAGGAGCAGCAAAAGCTCTTCAAGGGGTTTCATTAAACTCTAAAAAGAAGAAAACTTGATTTTAAGCATAAATCTGATGAAAACGTGCCTGCATCTACGAGGCAAATCTATCATAAAAGAATAAATATTTACAAAGGGAAAAATTTTGTACGAAATTAAGGCTTAATGACAACAAAATTCCAGAACTTTATCACTTCTTTCAATCTTTTTGGAAACTTTGAGATTTTCAACTCCATAAGACTATCTCCAATTCAACATCAGGCATAATCAGATCCTGAGATTGCTGACATGGCAAACCAAAATAAAATTATACATCATAGCAAGTCTGTGATTACTAATTTGGATGACTGGAAATAGGTTTTAGTGAACCATAAGTTGCCAAAAAGCAACTTCTAAGAAACCATACTAAAGTCAGCTTGAAATTTGAGGCAGTAACCAAGAATTTCAAGGCTTTTTCATTTTGGTTGAGCTTGCAATTTAAATGACGGGACTGAGGTTTGATTGTGCTTGTCATGCTAACAATTTCAGGCCTTTTGATTCAGCTTGAATCGGAGATGGAATGAACAAAATTATAAAGTTCTTTCATGGAATTGAAACAAAAAAGTTACATGATAAAATTCAAAAGGTGGTAAAAAATGATGACTTATTTGATCATTTGACTTAAAATTGAGAAAAAAAAGGACATAGTTACTAAATGCCAGCACACCAAATAGCATTTTCATATCTGAAACTAAAAGACCCCCACACTTATACAGATCAGATTATTTTGACGAGCACACTAGACAGAATATTTGAGAGACCACTTGGTCATATTGAGTTTGGCCAAACAAATTACACTATTTGTTGTACATCAATCATTTGCAAGTCCTCAAACAACTACAGATTAATATGAGAAGCAGAATATATGCATTGAACAAACCAAATGATAGCACCGCCAATGGTCAATTTATCGGACATTGAAGATAGAAGTTTAGTTTTTTTTCCCAACACAGTGTTATTTTTAATCAATACTTGGTGCTTCACCTTAATCATTACATGGAGCCAACCAAAGAAATAGTATCAATAGCACAACAAGAAAAAGATTTGACCAAGAAACTTACTTGCATGGTTGCGACTGATGTCATTACGCCATTGGCATCTGGCCGGCTTAGCACACTTGAATCCTGATAAAACCTGTAGACCACTTCTGGTGAGGTGTGAAGAATATGGTAATACTGCTCGACAAAAGCATTTCCAACTACTTCGGCACTGGGAGAAGTTGAAGTTTGCAAAGCCATTCTGCCAAGAGAGAACAGAGAAAGAATAAAACATTTCTGATTTTCGTAAAACACAGAAAATGCAGGAAAATTAAGAATTTGAACAATATCATTCCACTGTAATAAAGTCAAGGAAATTGATATGAACTACAAATTCATGAGTATTTACTAAATATGGGGAAAACCATAAATACTAGAGGCCAATAAAGGCAACTGGACCCTTTAAGCTTCTAAGATTTTATAAAAAACGAACCAACAAATGCAATAACCTATGCAGGGAACCAATTTCCAGAACAAAAGTCAAGGCATGGTTATAACATGGGTGATGGAAGCCAAAGGCAATTGAAATTACAAATCTAAAAATTTGAGACAAAACACAAGCATACATCGCCTCATTTTAGCATCAACTTTAATCTTCAAGATACTCAAGGAGGTGATAGCGACATTTACTACAAGCAAATTAAGTATGTCTAATCATTTAAAGCAGCAAAAGCTACAATTTCTTAATATCTCCTTGACTCCTTTATTCTACTAATTTACGCAGGAAATGATGGTGCATGCGAACATGCAATGTTTGTCTGCGTAGGAATCCATAGAAATGGTTAAAAATAGCATGCAAACACACGCACATTGTTTGAAAACAGAAAACCAGAATGTGCATTCGCATGCAAACATTTGTGCCTGAATCCAGAAAAATAGAAAACCACGGATCAACAGCCATCTGAGATCAACAACAAGGGAATTAGCAAAACTTGCCGTTTAAACCACAGGTATAAGAATGCTCCTATGATCAAGGAGAGGAACATAAATTAAATACCTGGAAAGCAAAGGATCAACACGGGCATAACAGATAATATACACACTTTCTTTTAAAAAAAATATGTATAGTGGAATCCTCAGAAAAACCCTAAAGTTTCAAATAATCAAGGGACATATCAGAACCGAAAATCTGTGACTTCATGGCCAAACAAAAAAAAAAAAAAAAAAAAAAAAAGGAAAGCCAAAGGATCAACAACGGCAATACAGATAATATACACACTTTTCTTTTTAAATATTTAAATATGGTATAGTGGGAATGCCTCAAGAAAAAACCCTAAAGTTTCTAAATAGTCAAGGAGACATATCAGAAAAACCGAAAATCTTGACTGTCATGGCCAAGACAAAAAAAAAAAAAAAAAAAAAAAAAATCCCAGAGAAAATGACAAACTGAATAAGTAAGAATGACGAATCAATGAGCAGCAAAACTGGACTATCAATTTCTACCGATCCAAATTATCCAACGCAAAAAAGTTAACCTAGAAGATCCTCTCAAAAAGCGCAAAAACTCAAGTTCCCATTGGAGGAAATAGCGAATAGGATACAATGCTATCAACACCACTTAAACCAAGCATTCGAATACAATAACATAACTTCATTAAATTCAAATCAACAAAGTACAACAACTCTCAGTTATAAATTCACAACAAAGGACAGAAGGAAGTAATAACCACCTTAAAAACACAAAAAAAAAAGAACGAAAAAAAAGAAAAGTCCACAACCCGCAAAAAAAAAAAAAAAAAAAAAAAAAAAATCCCAGAAAATGACAAACTGAATAAGAAGAATGAGATCATGGCAGCAACTGGACTACATTTCTCCGATCCAAATATCAAAAACCACAAAAAAGTTAACCCTAAAGTCCTCTCAAAAACGCAAAACTCAAAGTTCCCATTGGAGGAAATAGCGAATATTATACAATCTATCAACACCTTAACCAACATTGATACAAATAACAATAACTCATTAAATCAATCAACAAAGTAAAGCAACTCTCATTATTAACTTCAGCAACAGAAGGACAAAAAGAATAATCCCACCTTAAAACACAAAAAAAAAAAGAAAAAAAGAAAACCCACAACCGCAAAAATTAAATACACGTAAATAAAGACTCGATAAATGTACTGCAAAATGAAAAAAAAGAAAAGAAAAAGAAACAATATTCAAAAAAGGGTTTGATCTATAATATAAAAAGAAAAAAGAAGAAGAAGAAGAAGAAGCTAATAAGTACCTGAAATGGAAATGTTAAAGCTTTGCAATTAGGAGATTTGGGAAGAAGAGAGAATACAGTGCCTTGAAGAGTAGAGATATAGAGGTGAGGAAAGTGAAGAGATGAACAGTCAGCGAAAGAATAAAAAAGGAACGAACCGAAAGCTACCTCTGAACTTTTTCCCTATATGTGCTTGGGTTGGGGGCACAAGTATGTTTTTCTAGTTTTCTCGGTCCAGTTCCTTCCGTGAAGTTTGTGTAATTTTCTAAGTTTGTGATATTCTTGGATAATGCTACTACACCATAGATCCAGGCTAGGAATAGACAAAAACGAAATGACAAACAGGAAATTCTCAGGCCCAATCTGTTGACTAAGCCCAGCTTATATATAAGGCCTTTTTTGTCTGATATAATTTCAACCGTGATGGTGGACCCATCATATATTGTTTGGATTGAAGATCTATAAATGCAACAATAGATAAGAATGAAAAATGAATTAGAATATGATTAGTTTCATGTGGATCGTGAACAAAATAGTGCGAATAAACTATAAATTATAAAAGGGAAGAAATTAGTTAAATGTAATAGAATGTATGATCACAAAATTTGTGAGTAAAGCTTATTGATGACTACCACAATTTATTATTTTCTATACATTTTTCTTATATTAATAATGATTTTTTAAAATATAAAATTTCTATAATTATAAATATTTTGCGATCTTATAAGTTAAAAATTTTAATATCTTTTAACTAATTCTCAATATCGCAACCAAAAAATGGAAAATGAATTATTTAAAAATTATTGTCCAAAGATAAGTTATTTTAAAAAAATCAGAACCTAAGTTGTATAATAATAGTGTAATATTATGTACGAGAGAAGAAATTTTCAAGTTTATATTTTTGTATATATGGTTATGCTTATGCGTAGAAGAGTTTTATTTGGCCATACGTCGTTTTAGCTCCACGTGACTCCTACCCCTGATTTTGATTAATAGATGATAATAATCAATCATGATCCTATCATTAAATATCAATTACTATGTGATCTCATTCTTTAATTCTCTCATTTATAAAAAAAATCTAGTGAAATTTAATAATGGATTCACTCATAAATGTGTGAAACCATGTCATACTATATCTATGTAGGCTATATGCTAAAAAATGAATTTCAGACTTATAAGAACATTGATTTCAAACTCATGGCTACAAGTTTGGTTAAGGTATTAGAGGTTTGTCGAGACACACCATTAGCTGACTTACCTGAGTCTATTACCGAGTCATCTCTAGCTCTAACATATTTCGACATGATTAATCTCAAATTTCACTTAGTCGAGCGCCTATTTTTCTTTGAACATCCTGATTTAACTTCACCAATCTTTGACTCAGTGGTCATCCCTAAGCTCAAATCATCTCTCTCACTCACTCTCCTCCACTTCATTCCTGTAGCAGGAAAGATCACGTGGCCTCTTGATGCCACCAAACGATTCATCTTATATACTCCAAACGATGGCATTTCGTTTATAGTCGCAGAATCAAATGCAGATTTTACCTATCTTTCAGGCAATCAAATGAAGGAAGCTGTCGATTCACGTCTCTATGAGTTTAATATATTTGACTCGGAAGCATCCACTATAGCTTTCAAAATAACTTTATTTCCAAATCAAGGATTTTCTATCGGCATTATTACCCATCATGCTATTTTCCATGGCAAAAGTCTCAATATGTTCATTAAAGCATGGGCTCACATATGCAAACAAAGTGATATATCAACTCCACTTTTTGGTCAGACATTTATTCAAGACCCAGAAGGACTTGATATGGTGTACTTGAACAATTCGATGGAAGCGAGGTTACCAGGTTTAAATGACAAACCTAGAAGCTTGAAGTTTATTAGAAATTAAAAGGGTAGAGGTGAACTGGTTGAGAGGTTAGAATCCATGAGATGAAAATATATGATATGAGCTTACTTAGGCTTGGGCCAACCATTATTAAAAGATTAGTACTAACCAATTAGCTATCTAACTTAATACCCCCTCAAGTGCAACCGGGACTGGACTCTCGGTTGACACTCTTGAAAATCCTCCCCCTGAAATTGGATGGGCCTGACTAGGGACTGGATATCTAGACCCCCTGAAATTGGATGGGCCTCACTAGGGACTGGATATCTAGACGAGACCTGAATTGAAACGCGGGTGAAATGAAGAATAACTGGACCGGGCCGGACCTGCTCTGACACCAAAATTAGAAATTGAAAGGGTAGAGGTGGACTGGGTGAAAGGTTAGAACCCATGAGATAAAAATATATGATATGGACTTATTTAGATTTGGGCCAACTATTGTTAAAAGATTAGTACTAACCAATTAGTTAGCTAACTTAGTACCCTTATATGCCCTTTGTAGATTTAGTATTTAGTTGATGTGGGATTCTTAACAAAGTTGTTACCAACTACAGACATCATTTTCCAACTTAACTTGAGCAATGTTCAAATTGTCTGGCGAGAATATAAAGAAACTTAGGCAAAAAGTAATTTCTACATTGGATGGTGAAAATCAAATAAAAACAAGATATTTATCAACATTTATGCTCTCATTTGCATATACTTTTGTTTGCATAGCTACAGCAAAAATGTTGGAAAAGGAAGGAAAGATCCGCGCAGCATTGGCTGCTGATTTAAGGGACCGTTTGGATCCTCCCATACCCGAAAATTGTTTTGGAAACTTTGTTACTGGAAATGGTATACTTAAAGAAGTAGAACCTCTTTTCAAAGAGAGTGGTATTAACTTTGTTGTTGAGAAGCTTATCGATAAAATAGAAGAATTAAATAAAGGAGTTCTTGAGGGAGCTAAAGGAAAGCTTGCAAATATGTTGAAGGGTATGGAGTCAAGTACATTTGGAGTTGCTGGTTCACCTAAGTTTAAGCTCTATGATATAGATTTTGGGTGGAGGAGGCCAAAAAAGGTGGAGATAGTATCTATAGATCGAAATGGAGCAATTTCTATGGTAGAGAGCAAAGATGAGAGTGGTGGTGTTGAGATTGGCTTAGTCTTGAAGAAGCATGAAATGGAAATGTTTAACTCTCTATTTGTTAATGGCATTTTAGACCTTTAAAGTGCACCATTTTAGTTAGTATTTGTGGATGATAATAATAATTGTTCATGGTAATTACTTGCTTCTTGGTAGCGAGGAAGAAGGGGTTTCTCTTTTTCTTTTTTTTCTTTTTTTTTTAATAATTAGGTTTTGGATGGAGTTTAAACTAACTTTAATAATTGTAGTAATTAATATAATTTATTTATATTTATTATTTTGTTATTGAATCTATAAAATAATTATTGTTGAATTTTATCTTTCAGTAAAGAAATGGATGAGACTCATGAGAGTAGAGATGGAAGCTGGGTGCATGTCCGAGAATTTTGAACTACACTATTTTTATCTTTTTAAAATTTTATTATTTATATTTATGTATCTGAACTCATTTAAAATTTACCATTTAAGATCATTATATTTTTCTATTTCACCGATCAGGTTTAAAATTACCTTTGTGATTATTATTGGATAGTATAGAATTGAAATTATTAGTTTTCATTAGCATACCCAGTATTACAAATTCTCGGTGTAATGTACTAAAGTATTTATTCTATTACATAAAATATCATCAACTTAAAATTTATTCATGATCAGCGGCGAAATGTAAACAAAAGATTCATACAGCTGATACTAAATGATTTAGGATTATCGACTCTAACGAATGTAATGGCATAGGATTCATATAGAGCCGATTTTAACTAGTTTAATTAGACATATCTATAAGGCCATTAACAAATAGTGAATTGAAAATCTCCATTTCACGCTTCTCCAGAACTATACCAACCTCAACACCGCCATTTGAACCTTTGCTCTTCAACAAAGAAATGCCTCCATTCCAGTCTATAGATGTAAAATCAACCTTCTTTGGTCTTCCCCACCCAAAATCCGTCTCATAAACTTCAAATTTTGGTGAAGCTGAAACTGCGATCACATCTTCATGACCTACTTCAATACTCTTCAGAACGAGTCCAAGCTTCTCCTTTTCTCCTGCAAGAATTCCTTTCTCTAATCCTTTTATCATATCGCTAAGCTTCATTGCAACAAAGCTAAACCCATTCTCGTCAATGAGAGTTTCTGCTTCTGTAAATATAGGATTTGTAGTAACACAACAACCAATATAATTCTTAGGCAATGGAGGGTCTAAACGATCTCTCCAGTCTGCGGCAAATGCTATGATAATCTTTCTTTTACCTTCAAACATTCTTGCTTTAGCAATGCAAACCAAAGTATAAGCGTAAGAGAGAACAAAAGTTGACAAATGCATTGTTTTTGTTTGATTTGGATCATCCAATTGAGAGAGCAATTTTTGCCTTAGTTTCTTTATATCTTCAGGAGACAAGTCGAATGTTGCTCGAGCTAAGTTTGATAAAGAGTTGTCGGCTGGTAGTAGCTTCAAGCTTTTAGGGGTATCATTGAAACCTGGTAACTTGGCTTCTAACCAGTTGTTCAAGTACACCATGTCAAGTCCTTCAGGGTCCTGAAAATCTGTTCGATCGAAACATGGAGTTAGCTCTGGTGATAATGTTGGAATCTTCTCTGTTTCAATTTGTTTGCATATGTGAGCCCAAGCTCTAATGAACATGACTATGCTTTTTCCATCTAAGAAGCCATGGTGAGAAGCGACGCCAATGGAAAAGCCCTGATTGGGAAATAACGTTATTTGAAGGGCTAAGATTGCTGCTTTTGAGTCAGATATAGCCAACTCAGGTACATATTGATGTGAGTCAATAGCTTCATTCATATGGTTACCGGAAAGATAACTAAAATCTGCATTTGACTCTGCAACAGTGACTGAAACACCATCATTTGGTGTGTAGAGGACAACTGGTTTCGTGGCATTTGAAGGCCACGTGATGTTTCCTGCTACAGGAAGGAAGTGGAGGAGAGCAAGTGAAAGAGAGGATTTGAGTTTTGGGAGGATCACTGAGCTGAAGAAGGATGAAGTTGAATCAGTGAGCTCGTAGAAATAAATTTGCTCAACTGGATAAAATCTGAGCCAAAAGAATTCAAAATGTGTGAGTGAAAGAGATGACTCAATAGCATGCTTGGATGAGTCGGATGATGGTGTGACTCGACAAACCTCTAGTATCTTAACTGGGTTAACCTTGGCCATGGGAATGAAATACAATCTATTGTAAGAGATTTTCTATGTTCAAGACTTGTGCTCAATTTGTGTTGAGGTCTCTCCTTATATAAATTGTGACTTGGATTTGCTCTTAAATGCCAGAATCTGAGTCTTTGGTTATGAATTAATGAACAATATCATATCTGATTTTTCCATTAAATTTAGGATAGTTTTTATCTGGCTTTTGCTATTATAAGTTGGACTAATAAATCAGAATACTCCGAACTTGACCAGACTATAGAATACCTAAAATGGACAGAAAAAACCGGATAAGTACTGGTAAGGGTCGGTCTAAACCGTGTAAAAAAGACCGGTTTTTACTACAGTTGGATTCGAATTCAAAAGGAAACGTAAATTGACAGCACATGACAGTTAATGTTTGAAATACGCACTAATTTTGACAACTATTTTTGTATTTTTGTGAAAATTATGGCAACCAAACGCTTTCCTTTCAAATTACTATGGAAAATAATTAATTAATCTCTTAGTTTTTATCAAATTAACTAATTCGTTCTTGCATTTTATTGATATTAATTAAGAGTCCCTAAGATTTAATTCTGTTAAACTAGTTAGTCTTTGCATTAACTTTTTCTTCATTTTTCCGATAAAATGCGTTAAAAAATGAAAATATCCTCAAAATTATTTCAGAAAAGACGATAATAACCCATATTAATTGCTCCATTAGAGTGGAGGAGAACACATGCAACTCTTTTGCAGATGTCTGTAATGATGGTGGTGTACGGATTGTTGAAGCTTACTGCGACAAAACTGTTGAGGAACTAAGGACGGCGATTGCGAAAAATCATGAAGACCACAACAGATTTCTCGTTCACGATCAAGTCCTTGGTTCTGATTTAGGTTTCTCTGCTCTAGTTTATATACAGGTAATTCCATTAAATTTAAATTAATCAATTGCTAAATTCCATATTAAGAAGTAAAGACGTCCACTAGTCATGGTCATCGGTTCGGTTCTAACTGAAATCGAACCGTACTGTAGACGAATCGAAATCGAACTGAAATCGACGGTTCAAAATTTTAAACTGGAACTGGCGGTTCAAGAGCCGGTTAAAGTTCACGTGTATGTTAAAATATGAACCTGAATCGGCCCGGAACCGGCGTTTCCTGTCCGGTTCAAACCGAAAATTTATATTTATATTTTCAAAATTATAATCACTTAGCCTATTTTATACATCTCTAAAAGACTCAATAATATTTTATATATTTTACTAAATATTTTTTTTAAATACACTTTACTTTAAAAGTTAAAAATATAAAGTAAAATGGTAAAAAAGAGAGAAATATTTAGTCTAAAGTTATATTGTTTTTAACTTTTTTTTTATCTTTTAAATTGTTCACTAAGTTTAAAGTTACATTCTTTTGAAGTATTTTTCAAAATAGGCCTATTTTATACAATCTCTAAAAAGACTCAAAATAATATTTATATATTTTACTAAATATTTTTTTTTTTAAATACACTTTGAGACCCTTTAAAAGTTAAAAAATATAAAGGTAAAATGGTTATAAGAGAGAAATTTACGTCTAAAGTTAAATTGTTTTATAAACTTTTTTTTTATCTTTTAAATTGTTCACTAAAGTTAAAGATCTACAATTCTTTGAAAGTATTTTTCCAAAATTTTTCTTATAATTTATTATAATTTAATAACATTTAAACAAAATAAAGTTGATATTTAAATTTGATTATTTTGTAAAATTTAATTAATTTTTTATTCTTAATATGAGTATAGATATTTTGTAAAATTAATTAATTTTATTCTTATATGAGTATGAGCATTTTAAAATTTATTTAAAATAAAATTTACCAATATTTTTTTAAGCTCATATTAATATTTATGACGAAATATGTAATGTTAGAATCGATGTTTTTTAAAAATATATATATATCGCCGGAAACCGTGATCAGAATCATCGGTTAATCGGAACCGCACCGGAACTGATCGAAACCGAAACTGGCGGTTCAAGGGCCAATTCAAGTTTAACATTCTAAAAATTTTGAACCGTCAGTTTCATGAACTGGAACTGGCGGTTCAATGAACCGGCCATGCCTAACGTCCACTGCTGCGGGTTTAATGATCAAAATTTGTTTGTTAGACAAAAAAGGAAAAACAAAAAATTAATTGTATAAATGAAAAGGTTAGTAGTTGGTGAATTTAATTTAAATATATTTTTATTCCATCATCATGAATTTAATTTAAAAGATGAAGCTACAAAAAAGTTATTTGGGTTGCAGTTGATAGGAGGCTACGAAAATTAGATTAAAGCGAAGACAAACTGCTGAGACATAGGTCGTGA